CTCGATAATTCCTTCCGCCTTGCTTTTCTTTTGCTTTGTTAATTATATACCTCTGCTTTAGTAGTCCCTCACACTATTTTGAAGATTCATTCCGACTAACTTTATTTCTATTTTGCTTAAACTACAATGGATTCTGGCCTTTAAATGCGGTCATGTTTTTAGTTTAAGCCGTGTAGTCTTTTTATTAATGAAAAAGGAATAAGGGTTCTACAAATACGTTGTTTCACCCCTAAAAGTGAAAAATAAAAAGGGGCCCAAAACAACAATTTCCCTTTAATGGAATGGCAATGTTATCTTCAACTTTTAATGTAATGTAAATTAATGTGAATTTGATCAGACACTTGAAAGTTGAAACAGAGTGTCGGTTAAGCAATCAAGACTTCTTATTTATTATAATACTTCAAAAAAAAAAAGGCTTCTTATTTATTATTAATTTACAGGTTTAATAGAACACATGTATTCCCACCATCGCCAATTGTTACCTCTTTAGGAAAAGGAAAATCGTTTGATAGGGCTGCAGCCGTCTCAAAATAATAAGTAAATCCTCACTTTATAACTCATCAAATATTGTAATTCAAGCATTAGAAAATCTTTACATCGAACACCTTGGCTTGAACATTATAATTGCAAAAAAAAAGAGTTCAAGCTTTAAAAATATGGCTATTGTGACAAATTATCTAGACCATCGATTTCGTCCTAAAAATAAGTGTTTATAGATCCGCAAGATCTGTACTATTTTTTTAGTTTTGAATTTCATTGTCGGTGTTGGAAAGTGATTTTAAAACCATCATGGAGATTTCCATGCCGAAATTACTATTTGGATGAGGATTTGAGGTGAAGCTTATCTTTCTTTTCATAAATCCTAGGCCATATAGAGACCTTATCCTTTGAAAAATAATGTGTTTTAACATTTAAGAAAAGGAAAAAGAAGCTCCATTTTCCTAAGTGGGCAATGGGACTGACAAGAGTCTGGTTTAACCAGGGCTCAGAAAATATTCGGGTTGGATCGGACAATGTCAATCTGACCCAGAATCAATGGATCGCTGGTTCTTGATGGCCCGGATCGGTGAACTAGATGGATTTGACCAAAAATGACATGTTTGTAGTAAATTTGGCGATTTTTCTCTTGAAATGGAGTGTTTTTCTGTGTAATTTTCCTTTATTTTCATCTTATCTGCCTTTTAATCCATTTCAACCTCATTTATCAACATTTCTTTGTAAAAGAAAAATGAAATAAAAACTAAAAATAACCTCATTCCGGTCACTTTTCATATATCTAAAAGATCTATACTTCATTTCTTTTAATCAAAGGTCCAATTGATGAAATCAAAAATTTAAAAAGAGAGGTTCGTTTTTTTTTCTTTTTTCTTTTTTTATCTCAGGTCCCTCAGATTTCAGGTTTTGAATCCAATTAATTATTGAGGCTTTCAATTTTAATACTTTAAGGCGCGATCAACAACAAACATTTGGTCATTTTTCATTCAATATATATTGATTTGATTTTCCTTTTTAGATTTTGATGAAATGAAACCTTAATTTAACTAGATCCAGCCTTTATCTACTGAACAATAGATCATGCATTTTTTTCTTCGATTTGTAATTTACTTTTTAGAAATATGTACTTGTCCTCTAAAAAATCCAAAAATATCTCATTTTATTAATTTATCCCTTTTTCTAGAGTTTAGTTCTGCAACCTTATCAGTCTTATCATGATTATTCTTGACTTTTCACAATTTTCATAATCTATACTGAATATTTGCTATTTTTTCATCTCTCTTTACATTGTATTCATTCTTTTAGTTTTTCTTTTTCTTTTTTTGGTGTCTTATTTTTTGTACCAGTATTAGTCTCCCTTGTTTTCTTCATTTTCATAATTACTTGCTGAAGTTTCAGATATATATGTATCCAATAATTTGGGTTGAAACCATTTTTTTGGCTTAAAATATAGATTTTCCCTAATATTTTTGGGCATTTTAATGCTTTTCTAATATTATTTTTCAGATATATATGTATCCAATAATTTGGGTTGAAACCATTTTTTTGGCTTAAAATATAGATTTTTCCTAATATTTTTGGGCATTTTAATGCTTTTCTAATATTATTTTCAAATGTGCTGTAGAATGTGAGGGAGCATATGTTGACTCTTACTAAAGACAACAAGGGCCAAAAGGTGAAAAAGGGGTTGATTGAGGAGATCGGCAGCCCATTAATGGAATCAGTAATTAGGGAAGGGAGCAATAGGATGACTTTGAGGCTCTTGTGTGGAGCACAAGTTTCAAATGTATATCCAGTATAATTAGAGCAATCATCATCATCATCTGAGTTTTTTTCCAATTATTTGAGATCGGCTATATGAATCCTGGTTTTTCATTATACTCTCTTAGTAACGATACCTACCCTCAGTGAGATCATAAGTCACTATATCTTTTATCACTCCTTTTAGGCCCACCTTCACTTTTTTTCAGCCTTCCACTTGAACTAGGTTGTACTTCCTAACAAGTATTGTATTGAATCTAAATCTACTTTCTCTCATCTTATCGTCTATTAGAACCACAACTAAATTCTCCCGAATGTACAAAAAGGTATATGTGGTATAGACAGGGTCTTTGGCAGCCAACACTAATGGGACTAGGGGATATCCTAGGGGTTAGGAGCTACATTGAGGCCCAACCCAAAGGATATTGGGTAAAGTAAGTTCCTAGTGTGCTAAGGAGCATGAGTTTCATGAAGAGAGGTGGGCGATGAGAACATGGTTTGGCAAGGAGTAGAACCTAACCTTGGGTGCGAGGATCACAAGATAGACTTCCTCAATCCACCAAACCTTCGTAGCTTTCTTATGGTCAAATTAACCATATTTTTTCTCAGCCATAGCATGAACAAATTAACATCAAGACTAGCATTAGCATGACCGTACAAAAGAACATGCTCACGGCCATTGCTAACATGTTTTATTATAATGTTAGGAATCAGGCTTGAGTCAAGACGGTAGAAGCTGGGTTTTCATAGCTAGTCTCAAATTTCATTCCTTCCTATGTAACCTTACCAAAAGAAAAAAACATGTCTTATAATGTTGGGATCTCCTTTAATGTAGCCAACAACAAGTATTACGCAGCAGCAGTATGGACCATTACGATTGTAGCACCTGGAGTCAACCTCTTTAGTGCGTATGAGCCCTGCTTAGATGTGAAAATGATAGAGGTGGGTAATTTAGTTATAAATGTGGAAGAGAATGGGGGTCTCGATCGTGTCATACGGCTGGAAAGACTCGAGGGGGAGGAATTTTACTGACTTCTTGATATATTGCCCATGTGGTACAATCTAACACAGTAATGTAGATGCTCCAGGAGTAAGAAAGAATGTCAAGCTATTGTCAGCTTTGTTGAATAGAGTGATGGGGCAAGTAGGAACTGAAAATGGAGTTCAAATTATCATTGTTAATGGAGGGAACTGCAATAGTGCACTGAGGAAGCTAACATGGACCAGAAAACATTTAGTATGAACCGTTACGCAGCCCACTACACTGACCTCATGTTAAAGGATATTGGCATACTCAGCAACTTGAAGTACCCCTATGGAGATGGGAATGACAAAAAATGTTCATATACAACTTATGCCATGCCCTTCATTTGATGTGGCAGAGCACCAACGGTAAGGACTAGGGAGTTGATACGGCCCAACATCACACATTTTGCAAGCTCGTCAACCACGGATTCCGTTTTTAGGCTGCTGTACATGCTCAAGAAAATGGTTGCCTTACACCAATAGGTGTTTCCCTATCTCAAAAACCCAACCCATCAGCATAGTTTAAGGCATCTTAGTAAAATGATATTCTTGGAGCCAGTAGATAGTGTGGCCAAAGCACCTTATAATTATGATGTTGAAGCTAGCATATATTTATGGAAAAATATATATAGAGACCATTTACTTTTTGTACGAGGAGGTCACAATCACTCTTGTCAGTTGGATTTCAAATTGGATGGTTGTAAAAGTGTCATTGAAAAGAACCATAGTTTGAAAAAAAAAAAATCTCGGATTTTATGACTAACTCAAACTATCCAATTTGACATCTAATGAGTAGGAGTGACTTTAACCTCCTTACAATAAAGATAAATGATCCCATTGTATACAATCCCTATATTTATAGAAAGTTGCTATCTGATTATGCTATAAAGGACTTCAAAGAGAAAATAACATTGTCTATGCAAATTGCCCATTTTTTACTCAAAGGTGGGGATCATCAATCACAGATAGAAGATGCATGTAAATGGTCCGTAGACATAAAGCTTTAACCCTTTAATATTTGACTATTGTTTTCTCTTTTATTTTTGACTGATGTTGATGCAGGAAAGTAACCATGGTTGATTCTCTTAACATTGTTTTGTCTAGACTTCTTCATGGAATATACCATTAGCAACAATCAATTAATCTTGAGGTCTTGACACAAAATACACCGATTGGAGATGCTCAATTAAACTTGTTCTATAACAAGGAATGAGCGAAATTGTCGTACATTTAATAAATCGTTATTGTGATATATGCAATAGCAGTTTAGATGCCAATTATATTATTTTGCAAATGGGTTGGTTCAAACATCCAATATCCGACACCACCTCCTAAAAACTCATATGTAAATTCAATCACAAACCCAATGTCCAGCCAGCTCATTTATATTTTCTCAAGCAGGAGATGAGGGGTCCAAAGTCCAAACGTTGGGTGTTCATATCTATTTCCTACTTAAAAACCATATTTGGGGTGTCCGGACACCGCGTATCTAAAACTTGAGATAAAAAAGATTTAAGAAGGGACTTATTTGTAAATTTACTTTCATATGTTAATCAAAAAAATAAGAGCCTATAATTTATTCCCACGAGGTAACACTACGAAGGCCCAACAGAAAAGGCCAAAAATAAGAAACAGATAAACATAGAAACGGAAAGGCATGAAATGGGACTATGGAGGCCCTACAGAAAAGGCCAAAAATAAGAAACAGATAAACATAGAAATGGGAAGACATGAAATGGGATTGTATACCACGACACCATTCATTTTTAATACAATGAGATCATTCACCTTTAACTAACTAATTTAAAATTTGACATCGCACAATTCAAGAAATCTTATTTTGAATTCTGTGCCTGATCAATGGCGCACCATAGCCACCTGATATCACATCTAATGATCAATATCTGCCAAAATATAAATAGTATGAGATAGAAGTGAGATAAATAGTTGGAATTAATGAAAAGTATTAAACATTTACATCTCTTTTTAGGTGTTTCCTCTCCATTAGTTATAACCTTACTACCAAAGCATAGCCCGGAAACTACAGACAACTAAGGTTCAGTGAACTTAGCTAGCTTAGCTATGAACTCGATACCCTAGTCAGCAAGTCTTCATTTAAAACTCAATTTTTTTCAAAAAACTCTTTGATTTTTTGAAATCTGTTAAGAACTCCAAGTTTTTTAAAAAATCTTAAAAGAAATGTATTTTTAATGGAACCGACATAAATCCAAATTTTATCTTTTTTCAAAAGAACTTAAACTACCTTATAACTTTATCTCTGCATTGATTTAATATCTTTGAATTTTGATTTAAAGATAAACACATTAAAAAAAGACTAAATTAAGAATCTTGATTTAACAAAAAAAATAAAAATTCACCAATATTTTCCCGTAAAAAAAAGTACAATGTTTTCTCCGAAGACAATCCATCAAAGTTCAAAACAACCATGTATCTTAAAATAATAGTTATAGTTAAAAGGAGTAACCCAGTGAAAAATCTTTTTTTATCTAAACACAGTGTCAGTATAAAGAACAAGTGAGAGATTAAGTGAACTAAAGATTTAGGCAGCTAGGAATTCAGGATGAGATTTGAATACTTAGATTTGCCTAAACATTTTGTTTCCTGCTTTCTACATAAGTTTGATTGATTTCACTTTTTCAATATTTTTTATTCAATTAATGTACACAACATAGCAATTTGAATTGACCACTATTTTACATTTTTGGGTTGTTGTGTTTTAGTTAATTGAAATCTTTTATTGAGGGTTCTTTTTTGCTTTTTTCTTCGAACCACAATCCTGTAACCTGGGTTATTGTTTTTGTTGTTTGCTAATGTCGTTCTGTGTTTAATATTGTTGCTATTGTTTTATTGTATGCTTTCAATAAATTATCATATGTCTTATGTCATGACAACAAAGTAAGCATTGTTGTTGTATTTATTGAAAGTTAAAGACAAAAATTTGTCAAGTATGACTCGAATGATATAAAAGTAAGGACATAAAATTATAGTTCAAGGGCAATCATTTCATGCAACCGTTGTATAGTAATATGATGCAACAACCTTAAAAAAATCATCTTCTAGTAATTTGTTTTATTCAAAATTTGAAATATATACTCTTTTCATTCTAATGAACAATCACAAAAAAAAGAAAAAATTACAATCATGTCATGCAATTGTTGTATAGTAATAAGATGCAACAACCTTAAAAAAACCATCTTATGGCAATTTGTTTTATTCAAAATTTGAAATATACTCTGTTCATTCTAATGAACAATCACAAAAGAAGAAAAAATTGAAAACCCAACCTAAAAAA